CTGCCTGTTGAGACCACCGCCGCCGCCTCCTCCCTCCCGCCGCGCAGCGAGCGCGCCGCGGCGGGCGGCCCCGCCGGCCCCGTCGGCGTCGATTGGGGCGACGTGTGGGAGTATCTGGTTGTCGCAGTCAGGGTGGCCGTCGTCCTGCGCATGGCGCTCGACGACGAGAGCGCCGGCGTGTTCAGCGCCGCCGCGCGCGCGCTGCGCGCGCTCGCGGCGCCGGCGGCGGCCGAGGCCGCGGTGTGGGAGGCGGCGGACGCGTCGGCGGCGGTCTCGTGGCCGGCGCCGTGGCGGGGCGCGCTGCGGCGGATGGGCGCGGCGGGGACGTGGGAGGCGCCGGGGGAGCTCCTCAGCCAGGTCTGAGGCGAGCCAGGGGGTACAGGGTAGGGCGGGCCTGGTTGGGTTGCAGCCGCGGCTGTAGCTGAGGCGGCCCTTGAGGGCGACGCCTCGTTGGGGCCTCAGACCGGCGCTGGCGCTCGCTGCCTTGTCGCCGGTGCTGAAACAGGCCAGCACAATCACCCCTGTGCATTCCGCTCTCAGCCTCCGCCACTGTGCCCACCGACCCACCCCTCAACCAAATCCCTCCCCCCTTCGCTGCTGACTCCCCCCAAATCGCCCGAAACGACAGAGCCAGGCCGCGATCGCCCAGCAGCAGCAGCGGGGCGGCGCCGCAACCGTCGCCGAGGACGCTGACGAGGCGGACGCCCCCGAGGACGTGGCCGCGATCGACCCCCTGGGCGGCTTCCTGGCGATGGACCCCCTGCCGCGCATCAGGTGGCTGCTGCGCCACCGCGCCGCGACCGAGGCCGCGGCGCCGCTGCTGGACGTGCTGTGCGCGGCGGCCGTGAGCGGGCCGCGCGCGGCGGAGGCGATTGTCGGGTGCCCGGGCATGATAGACGCGGTCGCGGGCCTCATAGGGCCCGAGTACTGCGGGGGCGGGGCCGACGCAGAGACAGCAGGGTCAGAGGTCGCGGGGGCGGCCGCCGGCGGGGCGCCAGAGCCGCCCCGGGCGCAGCTGCGGCCCCGCGCGCTGCGACTCGCGCGCCTGCTCGCGCAGGCGTCGCCTGCGGCCGCGGGGCGCCTGCGGGCTGCGGGGGTGCTGACGGCGGCACAGGCGGCGCTGCTGCGGCGGCCGCCGGGCGGGGAGGGCAGTTTTGGGGAGGCGGAGGTGGATGCTCTTATGCGGCTGGAGGCCATGCGGATCTGGCGCGTCACAGCAGCCCAGGTGAGATCACTGCACGCCTTGTAGACGAGTCCGAGGTTACGCGCCGCGCCATCCCCGTTTCCAACCAAGCACTGATGCGCCGCGTTGCTGCGGCACCCCAAAACACATCCCACGCGCTGATGCGGCACCCAGCCCGCAGGCAACTCGCCGGCGCCGCCCACGAACGCACACGTACTCGCATCTGTGCCCTCCCACCCTTAGGGCATCAGCCTCATGCACATGGACGTCATGTTTCAGAGCCTCTGCAGCCTCCTCGACCCGCCGCCGCCGGAAGCGCTGGCGCCGCAGTGGGACCTGCGCTGCGAGGCGCTGCAGCTTGCAGAGGCGCTGATTGCGCATGCGCTGCGCACCGCGTCCGGAGCAGGCGGGCCGGGCGTGGGGCCGGGCGACGAGATGATCAGCCCAGGCTGCGTCGCGGCGGTCGCGGGGGCCGCGGCGGACGCGTGGGACGCGGCGGGCGCGGTCGAGGCGGTAGCCCGCCTGCTGGTGTCTCAGCATGACGTCATCATACCCTGCAGCGGCGTCGAGGGCGACTTAGAGGGCGGCCTAGCGGATGGAGGGCAGCACGGTGCAGACACGGCGCCTGCCGCGGCCGCGGCCGCGGTCGAGCTGCACCCGTCGCGCCTGCTGCCGCCCGGGCACGCTGCGCTCTCGGCGCTCGCCGCTGCGTGGCACCTGATCGCGACGGCGACCGCGGGGCCGGGCCCCGGGCAGCGGCGCACGGCGGGCGAGGTGTGGCGGCGGCTGGCTGCGGCGGGCCTGGTGGGTTCGGGTGGCGGCGGCGGCGGCGGCGGCGGCAGGGCCGCTGCAGGTGGCGAGGCGGCGAGGGTGGCGACAAGGGACGCTCTGGCACTCGCGCTGCTCCGCAGCGGCGAGGGGGCGGAGCCAGAAGTTGGACGGGCGTTCGTGCACCACCTACTCCATCTCATGCGCGCCGCCTGCGACGGCGGAGGCGTGGTACGGGGGACGGGTGACGCTGACGCGGCCGCGGCCGCCGCCTGCCTGGGCGGCGCCGCGGCTTCGGCGATCGCGGCTCTGTGCCGCCTCGAGGCGGGCGCCGCCGTGGCCGCCGCGCACGCGCCGGGGCCGCGTGCCGCGACGCTCGCGTGGCGCTGCGGCGCCGCCGCCGCGGACGCGCTGGCGGCGCGCGCGGCGCGCTCCGCTTGCCCATCGGCGCTCGAGCCCTGGCACCTTGCTTGGATGCAGGCGGCCCAGCCGGCGGCGCGGCTGCTGTTGCAGTCAGTCGCGCTCCTACCCCCTCGTGCCGCCCCTGCGCCTCTGACGGCAACCGCCGCCGGTGCCGGCGCAAGCGCCAGCGCGGCCGCCACGCCTCCGGCGGACGGGGAGGCGCAGGGCGAGCTGCTGCTGTTTGACGGGTTGATGAGCCTGCTGGTTCTGACGCCGCCAGGGCTGGAATCCGATGTGCTGTCAGCCCTGCGCCTCGCGCTGTCCGGCTCCGGCGCCTGCCGCGCCGGCGCCGCCCGCGCGTGCAGCGCGTCGCTGTCGGAAATCGCGGCGATGCGCGCCGCGGGCTGCGAGCTCGCGCAGGCGGCCGCGGGCGTGCGGGCGGCAGCAGGCGGCGGCGGCGGCGCAGATGGCGCCAGGCCGGTTGGCAGGGTGGCGTATCCTGCGCCAGAGGCTGTGGATATGGAGGAGGTGATCGCCGTCCTGCGGGAGGGCTACGCAGCCAGCTGGCTGTCGATCATCCCTGCTGGCCGCGTGCGCGGCGCCAGCGGGGTGAAGGCCGCGGCGGCGCAGGGCCAGGCGCAGGCGCGGGCCGGGGCTGTGGGGGCGCCGCCGGCCCCGGAGCTGCGGCGCGCGGTGGCGGACGACCCGCGCGGCTCGAGGCTGCCCGCGCCGGCGTCGTGGATGGCGGCGGAAGCGCTCGCGCTGCCTGGCGGCCCGGCGGACGGCCCCGCAGCCGCCGCCACCACTTCTTCCGCGGCGCCGGGCCGCGAGGCGGCGCACCCGGCGGCAGCGGCGCTGCTCCTGTCGCTCGGCTGTGGGGCGCTCGGCCTGCGGTGCGCGGCATCCGCGCCGCCGCCGGCGAGGCTGCGCGCCGCGGTTGAGCACGCTTACCTGGGAAATGCCTGGGAGCTGTTCCCCGGGGGCTTGCGGGCGCATGCGGGAGCGAAGCCGCCAGAGCAGGCGCAGGGCTGGCAAGATGCCGCGGCGCGCTGGGCGCTTGCGGCGCTGACGTGGCGGTGCACCGCAGGCCTGATGGGCGCCGGGCGGCAGCAGCAGCAGGAGCAGCAGCAGCAGCAGCAGCAGCAGCAGCAGCAGCAGCAGCAGCAGCAGCAGCAGCAGCAGGAGCAGCGGAGACCCGGCGCCGGTGGCGGCGACTCGAACGGTCCCTGGGGCAATGCAAACGGTGGCGATGGGGCCCACATGTGGACCGGGTGGCTTGGGCCTGCCGCGGTCGAGCGGATCGTTCAGCAGTTTGCCGAGTCATCGATGGGCGACCCCCTTTACGGCGCCCACATCGCGCTGCTGCTGCTCCCCGCCGGCGGCGCGGCGCTGCAGCGCGCCGTGTGGGGCGCTCTGTCGTCCCACGCCGCGCTGCACCTGCTGCCCCCGCCCGCCGGCTGCCTGGGCGGCGGGGGCCCGTACCTGGCCGGGCCGTTTGAATTCGGATTCGTGGCGGAAGCTGCCAAAAGCCTGGGGCAGGGCGATCTGGTTAAGGCGCTCCGGCTCGGCAGCATAAGCGCTGACCTGGCGCTGCACGCGGTTGCTGACATGGCGCTCGATCAGGCCTCTTGGGCGCGCGAGCAGGCGCGCGAGGACGGCGCCGCGGCGGAGCGGCGGCGGCGAGACGCGCGCGCCGGCCGCCCGCGCGGCAGCGGCAGCGCCGCTGCCGCCGTCGACGCCGCCGGCCGCGCGACCAACGTGCTGAGGGGGGTCATGCGGGGCGCGGGCCTCGACACGGTACGGCGGCTGCTGGCGGCGGGGCGGGCGCGGGGGCAGGGGACGGGCGCGCAGCGGCGTGCGCTGGCAGTGGCCTGCCATGGAGATGCAGAGTTGATGGAGAAGTTGGCTCGGCTGATGGCCGCAGAGGATGCGCACGGTGGTGGGTAGGCAGCTTTACATGTAACATTGTAGTGCTCGTGCTATGCTTTGCAACAGGGTTCATGTCGCGTCGCACGAGTCTGGCAACACCCAGCGTGGACCAGGCGTGGACCGCTTGGACACCTTGCAGCAGCTGCCTTTGCGTGCACCTGCACCATTTGCTGCCTGGCGAGCCTGCGCCTGTGCCACATGTCAAAGCAGCGGGAAGGACTCAGCGAAGCCATTATTATGCGCAGCAAAAATCACGTAACCATACCTTCACAATAGCCCCGGGAGATCCCCTTCCGCGTGATCTGGGCCGATGGCCCGTAGCGGCTCGTCCTCGGGCAGTGGCTCGAGGAGCAGTGGATCAGGCACATCCAGTGGCTCTTCTAGCCGTTCGAGGGGCTCCTCGCCCAGCAGCTCGTCCGGCAGATCAGGGTGAGGCGCCAACGCGAGCCACAGAGGTTCTATGCCACGCAACGAACTAATATCCTGTGTTTCACTTGCTCCGCGACTGATGCGGCCTCTGCTGGACCCGGCAACCGCAGGTCGCCAGCACGCGCCGCTTCAGCCGAGCGCAGCCGCAGCCGCAGCCGCAGCCCGCAGCGCCGCCAGTCCAGCGATGAGCCAGCCCCAGCGGAACCGCCGCGCGGCGCGGAGAACGGACGCAAGGAGGAGGGCGTCAGGAAGGTGCGGGCGCGACCGCCCGACGCCCGTCCCCCGCCCGCAGCCCCCTTATCCCACAGAGGCGCCCCGCCCCCCGCC